TTTGCTATTTTTTCGTTGTATTTTCTAGTTGAGAGCCATTGCAGATGATTGTGTCCTCTATCAGCTACCTTGTTTGCGTCGTTTCATGGTACGGTCGCCTAAAAATTCTAGACCAAGTTTTCACATCGGTTTGACAGAGAGATAAATTATGCGCTGTCTCAGATTCGCTTGCAGTACGTAAAATATCTTGCCTTAAACAGATGGAACAAAAATAGTCTTAAGTGTTTAGATTTGTTTCACTGGAGGTCTACCCTAAAACTTGAAGAGTCTGTCAAAATATGAATTTCAATTTTAGCTACCACGTTAGCAAATACTTTTCAAATCGGTAATTTAATTCACTGGGAAACTTGTGGTTAGGGTTTTGATAGAGAAGAAATGCATTAAAGAACTAAAGAAAATATTAGTAAGAATATCTACTCACAATTGTACGTAGAGCACATGTACAATTTCCGTTCTGTTTTGTTTACTTCATCGAATATCGAATTGAGTAGGATACCGTACGATTTTCTGTTGCTCGTGCTACCTGCAAGATGCATCGCTACTGGAATGAAGTCAAATTTGAAAGACAACACGAAATAAAGACTGCCAGAGTCACCATCTCTGGTAAAGTACACATCACTATCATTTTTGTCGTCTGTCTTGGATTTGGGTAACCAATTAACGGTAAGTATGTGTGGAATTCTTTTAGTGAACTCCTTTTTAGTCTGACGGTTGAATGTTATGTCTTCAGTATAATCAATGTAGTTGTCATCGATAAATCCTTGGGTCAGACCCGTCATAGCTCCATATTTGAAAATAGGAGCTCCTATTCCATTTATATTCTTGTATTTCCTGCAGAATGACCGAATATCTTGAGTAGTCACCAATTGAGGATTAGTGTGGTCATTTTGACTGGCACTATTATCGTTTTCAGTATTAAGATATTCATCTGATTCTTCTATCGACAATGTTGATGAAATCTTACCGGCGTCGTCATCATCTTCTTCTTCTTGATCATTGACGTCATCATCTTCTTCTTCTTGATCATTGGTGTCATCATCTTCTTCTTCTTGATCATTGACGTCATCATCTTCTTCTTCTTGGTCATTGGCGTCATCTTCTTCTTCTTCTTGATCATTGACATTTTCATCTTCTTCTTTTTTGTTATTGGCGTTGCTATCATTTCCATCGGACATAGGTGATTGCCTCTCATAAAAAAGTGAACTGAGTGCCTTACAGTTAAGATTGTCCAATACACATAATGGTTTTCCTTTGATCGGGCGAATGCATGCGTCGAGATTCGGAATTTCGATTTTCAAGTTATTATCTGTTTTTGAATCGATACTAATATAATTCGGAGCGTCTTGATTATGATAAATACGCGTTTCGGCTGCTGTCAAACTGCTAAGCACGTGATAGGCACTTAGAACATAGTGTTGTTTTTTCATGTTATCGTTGCTTGTTTCTTGCAAGAAGCAACAGACAGTTCCTAATTACGAATTGAAAGAAACGATGTAAACATGTCTAGCATCCTATCATCACTTCAAAATTACAGTAGTTTTATCTATCAGAGAAAGTTGAGTTTCTAGCGAAATTCGATCCCTAACTCGGAAGGGAGACGAAGCTTTGACAAAAATCTTTACGCCTTACTCTAGTGTCAGACAGTTTCATAAAAACATGATGTCTGAGATCCAGAAAAATGAGTACAATACTTTGAATCTGAGATATGTTAACATCTATGCAAAACACGTAGACCCTATCGATCTTGAAGTTGAAAGATTCGAATTTACGTGTCTTACTGATGTTTGGTGGTTTTGAAAATGCAGGAATACTAGAAAAAGTAAATGATGAATAGGAAATATGTTACCTATGCTTTGACAGATGTCTTCTTTCGAATTCCAGATCCCACCACCAAATTTAATATCATTAATAAAGGATGTTTCTGCATATATTTTATCATAATCCGTTTTAATCTTGTGCTTAATTTCAATGTCTCGGTTAGTTAATAAATGTTTAAAATCATCATTCGTATTGTGTTTATCCATTAATTTTTGGTGGCTTACGTTAGAGAAGCATGTATACTTAAGATGCTGGCTCTCAAAACAAAAATATGGACTTACTTTCCATATATCCCCAAGATCTAGTAGTAAGTTTGTAAAAGCTTCGCAAAACGCACGATCATGTTTCTGAAAAATCTGTTCAAGATCCACTTGCTTACTACCACGTACATTGAAATAATGCCAGGGAGAGTTAAGACCATCCATAGATTTATTGAAACGCTTAGTTAGTTTAGCGATGAATTGTGTTACATTTTCGTCCCTAATTGTATCCCATCGAAGGGCATATAACGGCCTTTCGTGGAGTTCATATTCAATGTTACAGATGAAGTGTATACCGTGTATGAAACAAATCAATTGATCGGCTGCTGATACTAATTCTTGCTGAATAAAATATGCCAGCGTGGGTCTTCCATAGCCATCGTTCGTTTCATTGAATAATTTAAAATACCTAAGCAGTGATGAAGACGTCCATGAAATGTTAGTTGTTGCTTTCTGAATGCCTCGTCCTATAAATAGATTGAAAAATATAGATCGGTATTCATTCCTTAATAATCAGATATGTGAGATGATGACGTTACCTTCATATGGCCACTGTTGAGCATTGAAGCCCACGGGTAAGTGCGTATGGCAAGGGAAAATGGTGAATTCGAAGTGGAAAATTATGCTAAATTACATACTTGCAGTAGTTCTAGGGTGTGGGTGTGGATGTGAAGCGATTCTCCTGTTTATCTACATCCCCACACTGACAACCACTTTAAGCATATTTTAAGCAGAAGATTCATCAAATCTTCATAATATTCTGTTTTTTACCATCAGAACGAAACTTTCAGAATCAATCTAAGTCACTTGGAAAAGCAGCCAATCAAATCGTGCAACTCAATCTGCCATACCCCTTACTCTACAGTAAGTTTCGTAAACTCAAAATAGCCTGAAGTCGAAGAAAGCATTTTACCATTTTCTTTCCCTGGACTGAAAGTTACTTTGCATGGATTCAGTCAACAATTTTCGCATCTTACAACTTACCATCGTCTATAGTCAATATCAGAGGATTTGTAAGCACCAGATTAGACGATGTGAACACTGGCAGAAAAGATGACACAATTTCACTAATTTTCTTTGGCTCGGGTATTTTATATGACCGAAAGCTTTTCATAGCTTTTCTTCCTGGGTCCTTAACGTATTTGCGTGAATCTGGAAACGCATTGTTGCTCTCGTTGAAATTATTGGCGAGCATGTACTTAATGCCAGACACGTTTTCTTCAGAATACCTTTCGTGATAGACATCAAGAAGCACACAGGCAGTAGCAGATGACACAATGATTTTGTACCAGTAGGCCCATAATTCTTCTTTAATTAGGTTTTGAACACGTAACAAGAGTACTTGCTGGCAGTAATAAAGTAGACACCATAGAGTGTAGCGGCAGTCTCTTATGAAATCTCCCATGGACTCATTTAATCGTTCAGCCCATTTAGATATGACACGGGCGACCACATTATCGGCAGGTGAACGATCCTTTTCTGTTATATAGCATTCTTTCTCGTCATCATATTCTAATTTGGGGTCCCAATCACTGATATAGACAGGATTGAGCACAACCGCATTGCGAAAAACTGTAGAAGATAGTTTCTGAGCTCTTCCATCAGGCTCAGCTAGAGCTGCTATGGATGAAAATCGATTGTCGTCCTGTCGTGTGTTTGCATCGACTGTAATAAAAGGAGATTCATTGTCACCAATATCACGAAAGATATTGAACAATTTTGTGCTGAGACGACCTTTGTGAAGATGACCATCCTTAGTAATATCAAATGACAGAACCGATATGACCCGATCCAATGCCATTTTCAGACCTCGCCGAACTATATCCCCGCTGTGAGTAGGGTGAAAGATCTTGTTGAGTAAGCTTCGAACGTCGTCAAACAGCATAGATCGAGAAGGCACATTAATGCGGTTGCTTGAGGACAATACTAAGTCGGTAGAAGTATGTATTGCATGTCGATAACACTCAACACCAGTACTCATCTAAAAATGATAATGAGAAATTCTCGCAATTTAATTTAGGTAAACGTGATTATTCTACATGTAAGCATGTGAGTGTGGGTGTGAGTAGGTGTTGGTGTGACTGTGAGATGTGCGTGAGTGTAGGTAGATGTGGATGCAGGGCGTGGGTGTAGCTAAATGTGAACATAGATGGGAAGGAAATCCACACCCTCGCTCCCACCCCAACCCTACGCGCACCTCCACATCTCACACTCACAGCCACAGTTACAGTCACACTCACAGCCACAGTTACAATCACACTCACAGCCACAGTTACAGTTACACTCACAGCCACAGTTACAGTCACACTCACTTCCACACCTCACACTCACATCCACACTCAGCTCCACTCCTCACACTCACACCCACACTCACATCATGATAGCGACTACGAGTATACAAATTATATATAACTTATCACAACTATCATGCATTTCTACAGTACTATTGATTGACGAATCGAGCTAGCAAAATATTCACGCATTAACCATAAATCATCATCGAAATATGATTTAACTTTGAATTAAATTTTCGATCATTCATGTTCTTTACTTCAGAGTTAACTTTTGTTGCAGAGACAAGACCTTAGAAAAGCTAAGCTCTATTCTCCGTAAAAGTGTCGTCCGATCATCTTCAGTTGTAAGATGAAGCTGCCTGTTAGTAGACGTACATGTTATCATTGATGAAAACCGATGTAGACCTCGGCTATCATGTTTTATTACCTATCAACATGGATAAACACCGATCATTTTTCGAAATAATAGATGTTCATTAATGTGATATCTCATTGATTACGTTTATCATTCATCGATGTGCTTAGCGTAAACCCCCCCTCATATTAGAAGCCCCTGGGGGGCTTCTAATATGTCTACCATATGAAGCTTCTGGAGGGGGGCTTCTATTAAGTCTCAAAAAAATTTCGTTAACTGCTAGGAAAAAGGGTTCGTAAGGGTTTTTAGAGATTTTCAAAGTTTTTATGAGTTTTCCGGAAGATTTTTGGCATTATTTCCAGATGTTAGCAAAGCTAGATAAGAGTCAGCCAAATTTTCACCTGAAAATCGAAAAATTCTAGCAGTTTTAGCATGAAAATGCGAAAAAAATCTTGAAAATTTTAAAAATTTTTCGAAAAATTAGGGGGGCTTCTAATACGTCAAACACGTCGTTCATCTCAGAGGGGGCTTCTAATAAGGGAGGGCTTCTAATATGGGAGGGGCTTCTATTAGGGGGAGGGGTTTATTGTCATCAATGGTTTACCGTTTTCCTACACGATGAGTAGCCTTTGTAAGAAAACTGACCTGAGAAGACGCAGATGGATCGGTTCTGACCATGCTGATCATTTTGAATAGAACAAAGACGTATTCCACACTTTACCACAACAAATGTTGACGTCTGAAATCACAATTTCATTAACTCGCTTCTTGAAGCAGAGTTTTTCTTCCTCTTCCCATGTAGTCTTTCTGTTTGCTACTTAATATTACAAGGTATTGCAAAATTTTGCCGCTTCCTCCATGAGTTTATATTCACAACGGTAACTTTCTTTTTCAAGCAGCAATAACGACGTGAACCAATATTTTTTTCTCGTTTTTCTTTTTTCTCTCGAGAAGTCTTCTGCATGGTGTCAGATGTTAAGAAGCAAAAAAACAATATTGACTGAATCTAATAAGAAAAAGAAGCATGCTGCGACAAATATTGACACATTTTTTCAAAAAGGGATGTTAAAAAAAATCCAAGGTGTGGGTAGGTGTGAGTGTATATTAAGCAAAGACCCACACCCACACCCACACCCAAACAACGAGAAAACATTCGATGGTATGATAGAAGTCCCTATTAAATAGTGCTAATGTAATTGCACAATGTCAGTGACATTCAAGATGAAGTTAGTCTATACAGAATTTACTTTTGCAGTTTTTCTGCAAAAGTAAATTCTGTCATTTTCCGTAGTTTCTCCTTACACGCTGTCAATTTTATATCTTATCGCTACTGTTAAGACATAAATATTTTATAACTGCAACGTGTCTGTGATTTTATGGTAACTTTCAAGGATACTTAAATGTTCTGAGTACAGAACACAGATTCTTTAAAATAAAAAATGGAAGGA